TTTATTTTCACCTTTATTTTCAGCCCCTCATGATCTCCCGATTAGTTTTCTTTAGCAACCCGATTATTGTGAGAAAATCAGTTCATTTTAATCTTTTCTGAAATACAGGCGACGGGGTCTAGTAAGGTAGTAGATGTTCTGCATATATGATCTGTTTATTAATCAAATTAATTAATCATTATTAACCAAAGTTGTCTTTCTCAGACAGACCAAGATTTCCATGCGTTGGAGAGCTTCAAGGTGCTGGAAAACAAATTCGAGAAAATAACAAAACTATTTGATCACCTAAGGGTCAGAACTATTTAACCCACAAGCGTCACTGTTTTGGTCCAATATTAATACCTGTACCATAATTGGAGGTGCGGCGCGCATCTCAAATGAAGAGTTGAGATATCCATAATCAGATGCTTATTCTTTCATATTGAGTTGCATGGCTTCCTCCTGATTCGAGTTCTTTTTGAATATTTCTGTGAATTTCCATGACTATCCGGGCGCTCTCCCTGGGTATCAGTTTACAAGGGACTGCATTACGTTCCCATTTCCTGTGAACGACTTATGGCTGCCTTGGTTCTGTGCACTTTCACGTCATGTCAGTCTGAGCTGCTCAACAAAAGTGCACGGGAAGCACGGCGGGGATTGAGCCGTAAATAGGAATGGAAGTGCATGGCTCAACGAGATCGGCCAACGCTAGGCGATTCATCCTCGACGCTCCTTTCCATTCTGTTTGCATATCAAAGCTATATATCTCCGAATAAGCGGCGGTGGAAATGGCGTCATTTCTGAGCTCATCTTGGAAAAAAAACCGATGTCCCAGCAAACTAATGGTAAGGAAGAATTACAGGGGGAGGGGGAGACAAAAAGTTTTCTCTCCACCTTCTGGACTAAATTTGTCAGACTGTGCCAAATTTCAGTCGGATTTTTTTTCCAGAAAATTGAATAGCACCATTCCATTTACCAGTTATCTTCACAACAGCCATGTAGACTAACGACATCAGAAGATTGCCAGGCGAACACCATGCAACGTCCGAGAACGAGGTCCTCGATTTCTGGCCCACGCTAGCTTGTCGATCATCGAAGCGGTAAGGTATTGGGGCCATGGTCCATGGAAAGGTTGTCCAAACTGCAGCGTCTCGGGGATCCTGCAAAATTCTCCAGGAACGAGGAGCCTGCTACTGCGACTCGATCGACGTATGCAATTGCCTCGGGCTAAATTCATTACTGTAGGCCACCTTGAGCTTGTTATAGGAACAAAAAGGAGACTTTCTCGGCGTGCATCAGCAAATAATTTGTTGCGCAGTTTGTAACTGTTGATGTAATTTCTACTGTGAAACGATCCTGAAATGCCGTTCCATAACAGAAGCATGTCCTTTTACGCTGCCATCGTGGCCTACAGAATATGAGGTCATCCACCATCCGCTCGTCGAGCCCAAGGAGACTTACCATAATAGCTAAGCCTGAAGCTGCTGCCTAATTCCTTTACTCGATTTCGTGGTGAACAGTTTTTAGATGCGGTAGATCTGCGGAGGATCCGCGCGGACCAGCATAACAGACATCGTTCCAAAGGTCCACGCTATGCCAAGGGACTTGTTGAGCTCGAACCTTGCACTCCCTTCCCGTGGCGGATCCTCAAAATGTGGTCCATCTCGAAGACTCTACAAAGTGCTCTTGCTTTTCCAACCTGGGAACATCCGGTTTGGGCTCAGAAAAACGTGACTAGTGCAGCTTCAAATGTGCAATGAGAGTGTCTCTTTTTCGTCACTCTTCCCCTGTTAACGCTAGGAAGAATCTCAGCCAGCGTACCCCGCCGTCAACTCTTGAATCCACCCTGCCTTTGATTTCTAGTTTTATAATAATTTCCTTTTAATGCTGTCAGTTAGAAGAAATAGAAAATGCTGAAGCATGTGGTGCACAAATGAGTGATTCCATTCTCACAAACGATACGGATGCTTGATGGCGACTTGCGGAGATATTGAAGACCTGTTCATCTAGTAGGATCAGATCCGATCTGATCCATGAACCAGTTGTAGATATCAGTCGGCATTTGCCACTGCACCACCCTACACTCGCCCGTGTGCTACTGCACGACTTTTACAAAGCGATGGCATGTGCCACCTTCTCTCGCTTCTCCAAACGGCAATCCCACATTTCATAGAACCTTTTAAAGGCAAAAGTCGGGCTCAATAAGGGGGTATTATGGCGATTGAAACTGAGTATAGAGATGCGAAGTGGAACGACAGTGGAGAAAAAACTGAGAAAAACCGTCGACAAGGCCGTTAACAAAACCCTCTTTCCCACTAGCAGTGAAGGAGGCTGGCTTGGGAAAGAGGCACGTACAAACAAGTTTTCTGGAGATGTCAGTCGTTCTATCGGTTGATACGGCAATCAACCTAGCTGATTTCACACGTTATGCCAGCCACGCACCACTTCCGGAGGTGGGCGGTCCTGGATTGAAACCGAACGCCCCGGGGCCTTAACGGGTTTTTCAAGGTGGGAAGTTGCTGCAATGTGTGCAGCTACCCACATACAACCTCCAGGCACGGGAATTACTTCTCTAGCGTGCCTGAGCCCGACCTTTGCCTTTAAAGAATGCGCTTCTTCCCATTCTCCTTTCGAGATGCAGGTGCGCCATTGGTTGCAAGAGGTGAAAAAAATTGTATGTATTTTGGTTTCCAAGCTTTTAACGGCTTCAGAGTGCATTTGCTTGCAGTTTTAGCTCTCAAGCGGAAAAGACACAAAAAGAACCTGAACGTTTAAAAGGGTTCCATTAGGTGCAGTTTGGTGCCACGTGAGTATGGCTTCCGTGGGAAGCACTTCAGATTAGTCGTATTGGTGAAGTTTCAGATAGCTCTATACTGATAGAAATACCCAACGACTGGGCTCCTGCTGGTTCATGCAAAACTTGCTCAAATATATATAGAACGGCCTTAAATAAAATGAGATACAAAAACATTAAACCTATATAATCTATGAAGACCTAGAAAATAGGTGAATCTAAAAATATTTAGCCTGTCATCGTGTTCAGTGTTGCATTTATTCCAGTGAGAAAAACTGAAAATTCCCAATACTCATAGCTCAAACCTCGACTTTTTTGGAGTCCTGCCAACGAATTATAAAAGGGGGTTCTGCAGCGAAACCTTTCCCCGAACCTACTAGAAAAGGTCAATTGATCAGTTCAATTGTTTGCGATGGGTTGCACAATGAATGATTAATGGATGCGCCTGGCGCTGAGCACAAATCGGCTTTCGAAACGTGTATTATTTACTGAAGGGGTAACTGCAGCGAGTTCACCCGGACTCATGTGCAAGAGGTGATGGGACCAATTTCATGGCGAGTTCTCCTCCTCAAGAACAAAGGTGCAAAAGGTTCTACATCAGCATTCTAGCAACACTTGCCGCCAGATGTCCACATAAAGGGCTTGCGAGCTAAACAAATTGAGGCATAATTAATCTACCTGTAATGGATAGAAACAAGCCTCTGGGTGTGGCTTGACCACTGAACACACACATCACATTTGTTCAGTGTGAAAAAACCTGGCGCAGCGGTTTGGGCCTATTTATGGCCTCTGAGTACCTACATATGGCCAAGTAGAGCTTAACCACATTGAGGATCTACTCGCTAGCTCTTTATGAAGCATATATAGGTGGTCTCGATGAAATTACGATGTCGAAAGATTTCGCAACTACACATGTGAGAAAAGCAGAAGTGCGAACTAGCAATGGAATCGATCCTACGACCTCTTGCCTTCAATGCAGCTGCTACCGTTACAGATTCCCACCTCATAACTACTGCCAGGAAATGGTTCCGCGGACTTTGAAAGCAGAAATTCATACTCAGTGTCTCAAAGCGCGTAGATATAAATCTCTTTGCAATTAGTCAGGTTGACTAAATGATCTTTCCCTGGTATAGTTGTGGTAAATTTCCCTCAGTAAGAGCATAATTTGGGGCTGAGTGGAGGTCTTAAGGGCAAAATAGTTGGGAAATTATTGGCTCAATTCTAAAAATGCATTTTTTTCACAGGTTGGCCGACTATCCGTTAGATGTACAAACTTGTGTGGTGGACTTCGCTTCCTACGCTTATACAACAAAAGACATCGGTATCGTGAAATTGACTGGAGTTTCATTGTATAGCCTTGGAATTATTGATTTGTTGAAGAGTATGGTTGGAAGGAGGAGAAACCGATCCAGATCAAGGATGGCCTTCGCCAATCGTTGCCTTCGTTTCTGCTCAGTAATGTAAAAACTGGTAATTGTACTTCTGTCACCACAACAGGTGAGTTTTTCGGATATTTTCGAATGTTTGCTCAAAGTAGATAATTAAGGACAGATATGTGATACTTGATTGATGGTAGTGTTGAAAAATTTGGTTGTCTCATTCAACGTATCGCGCTGCAACCGCACGCGCCGTAGGCCTATCCTTTCCCTGTCAACCGGTTT